CCCAGGGAAAGAAAGGGTGAGAAGACAGAATATTACTAGGCCCCAGATGAACCCAGTGCTGGAGTCTAACAAGGCCTAGTTTTCTACCAAGGGAAATGTTGATTTTCCTTGTCATGGCCCTGGCTTTGCTCCCCTGCTCAGTCTCAGGTTTTTCGAAGTCTAGTTCCCAGAATTCCTCCTTCCTTTAGTTCCCTAACATTTCACTTCTGGGAGAAGACTGCCCACCCTCTTGTATCAGGATCCTGGAGGCATTGTCATCTTGCACAGTGGTGAGATGAGATCTCTCTAGTACCTTGCCATTTGGTTATCTGTTGGACTTAGAACTTGAAGGCTGGGGAGACTCAAATCTCATAAGAGTATGTCTGAGCCCTGGCTGGCCAGCTGAATTGTTTCCTCCTTGGAAAACATCATCTTGGAGGGGAACTCAGTCTGGCTTCAGAGTGTCATCTGGTATAACTAGGTGTTCAGAGACAAGCCCAATTCAGATGAAGGTGCCTCTGGGGGCACAACAGGCCTTGGGGGGATGATTTGATTTGTGGACCTCTGTCTCACATACTTCACTCAGCTGTTTTACCAATAGGTTTGGGGGTCTCCATTGCTGGTCTTTATGGGTATCTGTGCAGCACCATAGGTAGGAGAATGGGGATTTGAGTCCTGGGCCTGGTTAGGACCTTCTAGGTGCTCCTTTGTGAGCAGGTTGGGCTGTGGGGTTTGCATTTGGATGGGAGTGCACAGGATACCTGTATTGGGTAAATGAGGATCTGCCATCCCTGCCCAGTGGAGGCGGCACTGGAGTGACTGGGATGCTCTTGGCCAAGCGCATCCTGACAAGGGGGAATAGAGTGGGGCAGGACCCAGCCTGGGTGAGGAGAGGTCACTGGGCCTCAATTCTGTCTTTGTATGCACAACAACTACAGTGTGTTGGTTAATTATTTATTTAACTGTTTTCTCATTAAAGGACATTGCGCTTTGAGCCATTTTTTCTTTATTTTAAAAAATATTGCCCTTAAAATCTTTATATATGAGATAGCACTGTTTTGGATGTATGATTTCTGTGTTTATTAATCTAATAAAGCATGGATTATGGTGTACATATATGTGTGTGGGGGCTAAGTGAACCAAGTTCTTGTCTTTGTGAATTTGATGTTTTCCTAGGTGCCTTTACATTATACCAAGTTTTTTGAGAGCCAGTTTCTCTTCTTTCCTTTCTTTCTCTCCCTCCCTCTCTTCCTTTCCCTTACTTCTTTTCTTTTTTGGTAAGAATGTTTAAGTTCTACTCTCTTAAAAAATTTCAGTTACACAGTACAGTGTTATCAACTATGCTCACCATGTTTTACAATAGTTCCTGAGACCTTAATCATTTTACAGCTGAAAGTTTGTACCCTTATTTCCCCCACATTCCAGCCTCTTGCAACCACTTTACAACTCTCTTTCTATGAATTTGAGGTTGTTTTTTTTTTTTATTTCACATACGCAATGTCCTGTAGTATTGTCTTTCTGTGTGACTTACTTCATTTAGCAGAACGCCCTCAAGGTCCATCCATGTTGTCACAAATGACAGGATTTTCTTCTTTCTCATAGCTGAGTAGTATTTTATTATATATACATATACACCACATCTTCTTTCTCCATTTGCTTATTGACATTTAGGTTGTTTCTACATCTTGGCTCTTGTGAATAATGCTGCAATAAACAGAGGAGTGCAGATATCTCTTTGATACCCTGTTTTCATTTTCTTTGGAAAATATATGCCCAGAAGTGGGATTGCTGGATCATATGGTAGTTCTATTTTTAATTTTTTGAGGAACTTTCATAGTATTTTCCTTAATGGCTTCACCAGTTTACATTCCCAACACAGTGCACGAGGATTCCACATTTTTTCCAACACTTATTATTTCTTGTCTTTTTGATGATAGCCATTCTAACAGGTGTGACTTGGTAGCTCATTGTGGTTTTGATTTACATGTCTCTCATGATTTATGAGTGATATCAGGCACCTTTTCAGGAAACTTTTGGCCATTTATGTCTTTTTTTTTTTTTTTTTGAAAAATATCTTTTTAGTTCTTCTGTCCAGTTTTTTAATTGGGTTGTTTTAAGTTTTTAGCTGTTGAGTTATATGAGCTCTTTCTGTATTTTGGATAGTAACATCTTATCATCAGATATAACTGTTAAGTATTTTCTCCCGTTCACTAGGTTACCTTTTCAGTTTGTTTTCTTTTATTTTTTTAGAGAAGGACAAACAGAGATCATGGCACTGGGGAAGAGCAGAGGGTGAGGTAGAGGGAATCTTTTTTTTTTTTTTTTTAAGATTTTATTTATTTGAGAGAGAGTGAAACCAAGAGAGACCAGAGGGAGAGAGAGAAGCAGACTCACACTGAGTGGTGAGCCTGATGGAGGGCTCGGTCCCAAGCCCTGAGATCATGACCTGAGGTGAAAGCAGACACTTAATCAACTGAGCCACCCAGGCACCCCAGAAGAGGGAATCTTAAGCAGACTCTATATCCCAGTATGGAGCCCAAAGCTGAGGCTTTCACCACTGAAATCAAGTGGTGGAGGCTTAACTGACTCAGCTACCCAGGCACCCCTGTACAGAAGCCTTTTAATTCGATGTAGGCCTACTTATTTATTTTTGCCATTATTTCCTTTGCGTTTGATGTTAAATACAGACAGTGTCAAAACACTTAACACCCCTGTTTTCTTTAGGCATTTTACAGTTTCAGGTCTATTTTCTGTTCTTTTATTTATATTAAGTTGAGTATAAGATAGTGGTTCAGGTTCACGCTTCTGCATGCATGTGGCTATCCAGTTCTTCCAGAACCTTTTGCTGAGGAAACTGTTCTTTCCCCATTGTTTATTATTGGGGAACCAGTTTCTTAAAAAAAAAAAAATTTTTTAACCAAACATATCAGAGTTTAATTAGTCATGCTATAATTACTGAGAATAAAATTGAATTTTTGCCATAGTTTTTTGGGGAGAGAACAGAGGCCCCGTGTTTTCAAAATAAAGGGTGAAGGTATTTTGTAAAAATCTTTTCTAACTATATTAGAACATAAGGTATGCACAGGCCTTTAGGCAAAGATAATATTGCTTAATATTTCATGTTTAAGGAAGTTTCTAAGTTAATTAAACTCTGAATGGTTTTTAAGATGTGACAGGACCTATGAAATTGAGTATAAAAAAACTTAGAATGATTAGTTCTTGAAAGAGCCAGACACTAATAGCTTCATTAGTAGTTGGTTTTTCCTTCAGTCTGTTGGGCCATCAATAGACAAGTCTGCTTCTATGGTGGTCATGTCTATAGCACCTCCGAGTATAGAACCCAGGGCCTACAAACCGTCCATAATTGTCAGTGCTGATTTTGGGTGCTTCATATTTCTGTGAATGATATGTCAGTTTTAATGCTTTCAGTTGTTTGAAAAGAAGACAAATTTAGGGTATTGATGAAAGTTTTATGTGCAGAACTTTGCTGCCACAATTATTTAGTAATGTAAATGCAATCAGATCCAGTTTTTTTTATGGATGTGTTGATACTATGTATAGGAGCCTCTGTGGCCCATACTGCTAATGGGTGTGGATAGCCCTCCACTGAGGCAAGAATATTAGGATTTTTACTGCAAAACATTTTTGCATTTGAACATCTGATTTTGGAACATATAGTTTTTTGATTTATAGATATATGCTACTGAGCTTAGTTTATATATAGTGTTTGGTCAAATATCTGTCATAAGCCTAAGATAAATGCTGATTGAAAGAGCCTAGCTGAGGAATGTTTTAACTGGTTATTCTTGGGTTTTCTTCATGAATCACTTGTGTAGCTTTCCTTCACAAAACGGTGAAATTTATACTCTGAGCTTTTATCAAGAGTCAATGTAAGAAACATCTATGTCTCTACTTCTTTTGGAGGCTGATGGAGAAGGAATGGGACAGTGAGGAAGGAGGTAACTGTCATAGAAAGGCAATACATTATATGGAAGGAATATAGGCTCTGGTGCCAGAGGGCCATCAGTTCTGATGTCTGGTGCCAAAGGCCTTCAATTCTGGTGGTGGGAGGATGTGAAGTGTCTCTTTTAATTACCTCTGTGTTTTCCAAAAAAATAAGACATTTATTGGGTTTATGGACCCGGCACTGTGCTTGGCCTGAAGGTACAAAAGTAAGACTTGTCCTCTGCCCTTAAAAGAACAATTCATTATTTAATAGTAAGATAGGAGTATGACCCTGTTGCTAAACAACATTTCTTTTTTTTTTTAATTTTTTTTTTTTTTAATTTGACAGAGATCACAAGTAGGCGGAGAGGCAGGCAGAGAGAGAGAAGAGGAAGCAGACTCCCCACTGAGCAGAGAGCCCGATGTGGGGCTCGATCCCAGGACCCTGAGACCATGACCTGAGTCGAAGGCAGAGGCTTTAACCCACTGAGCCACCCAGGCGCCCCCTAAACATTTCTTTCAGTTTTTTTCTTGGTGTCCAAGTTTTAGCCTTAGTTTTCTCATTGTAGAGGTGGCCCTTTGTGTTTTTTCATGTGTTGACTGGGGAATTGAGAGAGAGAGGAGAGGTAGTGATTGGTTTGATTGATTGATTCAAGCCATTAGCTAACATTTTGTGTTGGGAATCTATACGTATTTCTTTATTCTGGTTTACTGTATTATATATTAATATTTCAGAATTACTGAGATAATACTTGAATCAAGGAGTTAATTCTGTACATCTTGCTTGCTGGTATCAGAGTAGCTTGGTCAGAACATCAACCTTTAATTTTGTTTGTTCATTTACAACTAGTTTGCACTTTTATTTTTTTTTTTTTAAGATTTATTTATTTAGGGGAGAAAGAGCACACACACAGGTACAGGAAGGGGCAGAGGGAGAGAGAGAGAATCCCCAGAAGACTCTGTGTTGAGCATGGAGGCTGACGTGGGGTTCTATCTCATGACGATGAGATCATGACCTGAGCCAAAACCGGGAGTCAGAGGCTTAACCGACTGAACCACCCAGGCACCCATCTGGTTTGCAGTTTTAAATATGAGACTCAAATGTCAGACTATGCCTGTTTTCATGCAATTCTTCAAAAGTTTGGATACATCATATAAAATTATTTCTTCCAACTGTAGGAAAAACAAGATTATCATATTAAAATGTGGCTTAAAATCATAGTCTGATTAATATTAATCTAATTGATAACAAAGATTTTTAAACTGGCAGCCATGATATTTGAAACATATTTGAAATAAAAATGACTTATCTGGACACTGGTACTGAAACTAAGACTGAGAAAATATATTCCAAATAATCTATATTTATCATTATTATCTTATTTGAGAAACCATCACTTACTAAGTAGTTAGTTTATATATAGAACACAGATCTGTGTTGAGTTTCACCATGATCCAATTATTTTTCTTCTGTTTTGTAGCGTGGCTTACACCTCAGACACTGGTCTGCATTCTGTTATGTACGTGCCACTGGAGGCAGGGATAGAGCAGGGAATATTGGAGTTCAAGTCCTATTGATTTATGGGTTTGGGGCATAATTTTTGTTTGAGAAGGTTATGATGATACTTAGCTAGGTAATATTACCTTTCTAGTTGTATAGAGAGCAAAGTGAGATCTAGAAAGATGACTTTCATCAAGATGACAAGTGATGTACTAAGTGGTTTGCTTATTGTCCTCTTTTCCCAGCTTCACGAGGGCAGAAACTTCAGGTTTCTTGTTCATTGCGCATTCTTAGTGTCTAGAACAGTGGTGGGCACATGTAAATGTTAGTATTAATTTCTTAGAGTTAAACCTTGTAAGAATTATCCTCTGTACTTGCTTGTGTATAGTCTGTCTTTAAGCATGTATATTAATGTGTGATCTATAATATTAAGATAAATGTGAGCACACTAGATACCTTTTCAGGTAAGAACAACTTCTAGATACATTGCTATGTTCACTTGCTCATCAGGGTACAAGATTATTACGAACAAGCCTAGATATAATGACCAGTGTGCTTAAATGAGAATGAAGGAACAGCTGCTCTTTTAATGGTCTTTTAATGAGATGCATAAAATTCGGTCCATTTTCCTATTTCTTTGCAATTTAGTGATCTCAGGTTTCTTAGATGTCTTTTGGGTACTTCTGAAGTAATTATGTAGTTTAGGAAGTTGGAAATTGCTGAAGCTGATGAGATGGGAATTAGGTGGTTTTATGTGTTTATTTTTTCCCCAATCCTCAAACCTGTTTCCCATCTATTATCTGTATCATCTCCATCTCTATTCTCATAAATGTATTCCTTAATTTTTCTCAAAATCCTTTGTGCTAAAAGTAGTTATAGTTTAAAGCTGCTGCGTTATTTAGTTCTCATTAGGAAGTCATTTATAACAGTATATTTTTGTTTTTCTCTATAGCTTTGTAGATGGCAGGTCTACTTAACAGGAACAAGGTAGAGGTCACTAAAATGTAGAAATTTAATACGTTCAAACAACATGTATGACTTCTTTTCTGCTCACTTCTTTGCCCTTATTTTTAGTCATTTACATATTTTTAAATTGTGTTGTGACTGAATATTTTCATGCTTAGTAGTATTTGCTCATGAGAAATTTTCCTTTAATTTGCAAAAAGCTATTTAACTGCTTATGTCATCTAGGCATATGGAAAAGATATTTTTAAGTTACTTATTTCAATCATTTTGGAATGTGGTGACCTCAGAAATGGGCAAATATTTTCTTAGCATTTAGTTAAAAGAATAAACATGGTATGCTCATTGAGAGAAATTTAAATTTTGACTTTATGATAAGACAAGCTTCCCTTTGATTTTTTTCAGTGTTAATACTATTGCTTAATTACCCAGTGCCACCTTTTTTAAATCTATGATCTCATTTCCTCTTCAGATAAAAACCTCTATAAAGTGGACAAAGGTTTTTTTTATTATCCCTATTTTGTGGAGTAAGTTTTGGGCAAGACATTTGACTTCTTAGTTTCATTTTCTTTATCTGTAAAATAAGAGCAGTGGGCAAGATAATCTCCGAGGTCCTTTCAAGCTCTGTAATTCTGTGTTTATACTCTTGTAAAATGAAGGGACAGGGACACAGAGAAGTTGAGCCCTTGGCTGCGTTCAAATAATGAATTAATAATAATACCTTGATATCTGACTTTCTGATTAGCTGTTTATTGACCCTTTCCCACAATCCTTATGCCTATTACTGAAACTTTGCTGATTTCTTTTCTATTTGAAAATACAGCAGTTGGGGCGCCTGGGTGGCTCAGTGGGTTAAAGCCTCTGCCTTTGGCTCAGGTCATGATCTCAGGATCCTGGGAACGAGCCCCGCATCGGGCTCTCTGCTCAGCAGGGAGCCTTCTTCCCTCCCTCTCTCTCTCTCTGCCTGCCTCTCTGCCTACTTGTGATCTTTCTCTCTCTGTCAGATATTTTTTATCTTTTAAAAAAATAAAAATAAAAAGCTAAGATATATTTCTGCATTTTCAAGTTAAATTTTTATAATTTAGTAGATACTCATTCATGTTTTTAAAAGGGGGAGTTCTTATAAATACCAATTCCCATGGCAACTAAAAACAAATCAGAAGAGAAAGCATATCTGAAGTTATATAGTATGAGTGATAAGTAAATCAGAAGTAATCCAGTCTCACATGTAGCAAAAAAAAAAAAAAAAAGGATTTTTTTTTTTTTTTGAGATTATGTATTTATTTGAGGGAGAGTGAGAGAAAGCAGGAGAGGGTTTGAGTGGGGGGAGGGGCAGAGGGAGCAAGAGAGGAGCCCAATGACAGGGGCTGCATTCCAGGACCCAGGGATCATGACCTTAGCCAACGGCAGACACTTAACTGGCAGCCATCCAGGTGTCCTGGAAATATTTAAAAAAAAATTTTTTTTTTTTTTTTTTTTTTTTTTTTAGTATAGTTGAGGTGCAGTGTTATGTTACTTTCAGGTATACAACAAGTTTATACATTATGCTCTGTTCACCACAAGTGTAACTACCATCTGTCCCTATGCATCATATTACTTATTATTGCCTATATTCCTTATGCTGTGCCTTTTATTTCCATGACTTATTTATTCCATAACTGGAAGCTTGTATTTCCCACTCCCCTTTACTTATTTTGCTCAGCCCCCTACCTTCCTCTCCTCTGATAATCATTTGTTCTCTATGTTTATAGGTCTAATTCTGTTTTTTGTTTGTTTATTCATTTGTTTTGTTTTTATTTTTTATTTTTTTTTGTTTTTGAATTCTACATATAAATGAAATCATATGGTCTGTCTCATTTCACTTACCATAATACCCTCTAGGCCCACCCATGTTGTCTCAAATGGCAAGATCTCATTTTTTTTTTACGCAGATTTTCTGACTGCGTAATATTGCATTCCATACTACATCTTCCTTAATCTGTCTATCACTGGATAAGAAAGATTCTTAAGTGACAATTTTCTTCTATCCTTTTATTGATCCAAATTTGTATTTGAGTGTGTAATAAGCATTGGAATGATTTGAGCTTTCTTTTATTGGCTGAGTATATATATTGCTATCATGAGTGTTTATAGAAAGAAGTTTTATATTATTTGGAAAGTTAGATTAGACTTCTCAACCTTTAAGGGTTTGTGATTGAATTCCTTCCTGTTCCTCACCTCAGTGACAATCCCTTCCACAACTTTTCAGGATTGTATCGATCTTGTAAATTATGACATTTTATATAGATATAACACATTAATTTCTAGATGAGCTAGGATGAGGTATTTTAGGATGGCAATCAGAGTAGATTGTAGTTCAGTACAATTTTAAATATAAGTTCTTTGAAAAATTCAGCTTAATTTTCTAAAGGCAATATGATCACTATAAAATTTATTCAGTATAACAAGTAACATTTAGGTTTTTTTTTTTTTTAAGATTTTATTTATTTATTTGACACAGAGAGAGAGAGATCATGAGTAGGCAGAGACAGGCAGAGAGTCTGATGCGGGGCCCGATCCCAGGACCCTGAGATCGTGACCCGAGCCGAAGGCAGAGGCTTTAACACACTGAGCCACCCAAGCACCACTAGTTTTTTTGTTTTTATATAAAATATCCCCTTTTTGGGGAAAAAAGGAGCTTGTTTTGTTATTTTGATGCTTTGGGATAAAAATAGCTTTTATTCACTTTTCCATATAAAATGCCTCATAAATATTTTTCAATTGAAACAAGTAAATCATAGTCACAATTTTTTTTTAAGTAGTTGGAAAGAAATTTAGTGTAAAACACTTTATTTTACTATTGAGAAAACTGAGGTCCAGTTTAACTGAGGTTAATTCTCTGACCCATGGTTATATAGCTAATTAGGAACAAAGATGATTGGAATTTAGATATGCCAATTATCAAACTAAAACCCTTTTATTTGATGAGTAGGTATCTGGATTCTTTTCTGTACTCAGCTAGATTCATAGTCTAGATTTTTGCCGAACTCCTTCTTTACAGTGCTGTTTTTTTTTTTTTTTAAACATTGTGATAATTTCTGAACCAGAATTTAAAACCCAAAAGCTGCATTATAGTAGCTCACACTTAAAATACAATGGCATATGGAACTACAGTTTCTCACAGTTGGTTTCCTACTTGATATGATTTAGATCTGTAAATTTTTAGAATAAAATCTGATCCAGTTTCAAAAATATTATGTTCAAAATCTGTAGGTATTTTAAAAAAAATCTTTATTTACTTTCTCTTTTTAGTCTCTATAAGTTATTTACTTTGATTTAAACAATTACTCCACATAATTCTTTTGTATAAATGGTTGAATTATGTTTATTGATTTAAAATAAAACCAAAATTTAATAGTAGATTATCGAAAGCTAAATTATTCTTTAACAGCTCAAAGGAAATTTATAGTTAACATTTCTATGGTTACTAGACCCTTGCTCTGTAACGTAAAACACTTTTAAAGGATCATATAAGCAAAGAATACGAACTATGACATACCATAAAAAAAATCTCAGAAGTAAAAGAAACATTATAATTAACCAGAAAAGGAAAAAAATAGAGGAAGTGAATGAATTCTTCTATTTCTTACTTCTATTATCTAAGTAAATAATTTTCTCTGGGTCTGTAAACTTCGTTTTATATATCTATTTTATTTTACACTGAAGAAGTGATACAGAAAAGTTAATATGTTCTTGTGGTAATTAGTTTTGCTAGCAGAACTCTTCAGGGGCTTAGAGAATAGTGATGCTGTACCCCGTTCTGTGGGAGACTGGGAATATGACTTGAGTCGCACAGATCAGGATTTGTATCACCACTCCACCACTTACCAACAGCTTGACCTTGGGCAACTTTCTTAACTTCTCTAATCCTTAGTATTTTTATCTGTAAAATAGTGATCATAATGCCTCTTTTATAGTATTTTGTAATCATGTCTGTAAAAAGTATTTGTGCCTGTCTAATAATAAGCTCTCACTAATAGTTCTTTTCCCCCTGCTCTCCTTTACCTACCTATAGACCTACTCTCCACCTCTTCCCTCTTCACTGGTCCAGTTCCCCCTGATAGACTAAGGCTCTAAAGTAGGACTTCACATGGCGAGTAACTGAACTAAATAAACACAACAGGGGCAGCTCTTCACATTATTCCTGGCTAGTGCCTTGGGCAGGCTGGTCTCCTGGAGCAAATACCCCCAATTTCTATATCCTTAATAACTGGACAATGACTGTGCATTCTCTTAGTGAGGCTCCTTGCAGCTTTTATGGCAGCTATAATCCTGCTCCTTTAGGACCTTGAATT